TTTTAATGTTCACTTTTAGATTCGTATATATATATATATATGTGTGTGTGTGTGTGTGTGTGTATGTGTGTGTAAAGGTTTATCACTTAGCTGAGTGATGCTACATTCAGCATTCCGAATACAGAGTTTCGTGTATATACATACATATACATATATATATATATATATATATATATATATATATATATATGTGTGTGTGTGTGTGTATATATATATATATATATATATATATATATATATATATATATATATATATATCCGTAAGATGAGAACTAATAGAGTATAATTCCAACGTTCGTAACATTTAATTTGAAGGAGGGCTCAATGCAAAATAAAGCGATGTTATTTATTTTAGGATATTATATCGAAAAATGATCAAAATCGCGACACAATTTCAGTTGTGTTTCGATGCATATCAATGCATCTCATCAGGGGATTATTTACTACTTTCTTAAAGGAGCTGATTATTTATCAAATATGAAAAAAATATGTAGGAAACTCACAAAGCATATATTTTCTTTCGCATTTTGTAAAATTACGACTCTATCTCATTTTTTTAGGAACTAACATCGTCTAGTGTGTACAATATTGTATCCAAGAATCTCCTGTTGAGATGCCTTGATACGCACGTATGTGTGTGTGCGTCTGTGTGTAAGGGTGCCATCCCAAAACGATACAGAAGCGCCTCGGATTGAGGAATCGGAGAGCCAAGTTTGAATTCCAGTTGAATCCATTACATTCATTTACGTGCTCATGCCCTTGGGAAAGGTATGAATCCTCGTCTTCTCTCTCCAGTTATGGGTAACTAGCAAGAGACTGGGTTCTGTAGCCTTGGATGTCAACTGGTCTACCGTAGAAAGAAATGGAAACCTACTGCGGGAAAAAAATCTGCCTCTTCAGTCATGTATCAAAAGATACATGATCGCCTAAGCGTGTATCACGGATGACACATAACTGTGTATGTCTTTTTCTCTATATGTGTGTGTTTCTTATTGCTATAAACGTTATTTTCTTTAATTAAAATTAATATCAACCGTCATATATCGGGAAGGTCTGCTCAAAATAAAATAAAAAATAAATAAAATAAGTCTCTCGACAGGAATCGAACCTATATTCACTTTTTTCCATTCAAGAAACTATTCCTATAGCCAAATCGTGCCACATAAGACCGCAATAATAAAGCAAGACACAATTACCAACTTAACCCTTTGAACCCTGCGTTCCTGAACAATTTTAACCCTTCTGCCTGAGATCCTGAGTCAAAAGTCACAAATACTTGGTATGTGATGTTTCACGGTAGATATAAAAAATAGTTATAAGTGTTTACCCACCGTCCAACCGGTGACTGGGCATTACGTCATATTTCTCTACCATTGTTTAATCGGTGGCAGGACATTACGTCATTTTTCTCTACCACCGGAAAAGCGGTGGTCAGGTCTGACAGGGTTAAGGAATGCACCTGGGACTTTTTCGAATCTATATCTGCTTCATTTTTATATCCGAAACATAAACAGCAGTCAAGTTTAAATTGATTTCTTTTAATCTGATATTATTTATTCAACATAAGCTTATCTAAATAAGGAGAGCGAAACCATGATATGCCAAGCTTCCAAATTGTCATAAAAAAAAAAAATTAGCATCAGCGACTAAATTGTTTATCATACAACAAAGTGAACATTACATCAGTCGTATACAAATGCAACGATGCTGACAATGATTATGAATACTAATATATAGATTATTATTATTTTATTTCCTTTGATTTCTGCTGTGTACACATTTCTTTCCAGGTCCCGCCCAGTGACCTAAGGTTAGAAATGGCATCATGACATTTTCCACTGAGCAATTAAAAAAAACCAAAAAAAAAACAAAAAAAACGTATTTTACAGAGACAAAGCTCTTCGTAAGGTGTGGGTTGTACTCGTGAGAACAATTTTTTTGTATTTCTTTAAGGCATGGGCTTCCAGGAATCCCTTCAATGAGTCTAAGGGAACGGTTTCCAATCAATCCGAGGTTCCAATTACAACAGGGATTGTTGATGTTCCCATGTGTCACATTTTTGAGATTTCGATTTCAAGGTCCTTGTATTTTGATAGCTTTATGAAGATCTTCACAGATACATTGCAGGGACTGTCATATCAATAAGGAGGCAATTTTTTTTTGTTTGCTGTCTCTAATAACGATGTCACAGCCATCAGCTTTGATTGTTCTATCTGCGTGTATTGTGTAGTCCCATAAAATTGTTACAGGTCCTATCTCCATAATTATTATTATTATTATTATTATTATTATTATTATTATTATTGTTGTTGTTGTTGTTGTTATTATTATTATTATTATTATTATAGTATGAGACTGAAATAAACATTGCACGAAATTCACACCAGGCATTAAGGAAGCCGACTGCAGTAAGGGTATTGACTTAGATTCACTCCCAGCCGTTGAGTGGGTAAGAAGATGCCCCAAACAGAAACGTTGATTTAAGCGACTCGCTACTGCGTCATTTTATTTATGTAAGTCGAATAATTGCAATATATTTATTGAAAAGCATCAGTGATATTGGAGCACAAAAGATCATTTGACATTGATGATCCTTTTATAATTGTACGTGTGTCCCCCTTCGTTAGTTCGCACGACCGATATGTCCTGCCAATACCTCATATATAATGAAGTATTCCGTTTTGATCACGTAGAAAGACAATACTTTATGTGAGGGAATGTATGAAAGAAAGAAAGAAATAAAGAAAGGACGGAAGATAAAAGTGTTTAACTGCTGTTTCAATGAAAAAGCCGTTACTTTCAAATCTTTTTATTTGTACCCACTTCTTAAAATAACGACCATCATTCACATTTATGATTGTCATTAGAATATTTTATTAATGTTGTTAAGCTCAAATATTTAACCATGCGATAAGGGAATTTCTATTTTATTGTCGTAGAACTCGCCATAAACTTAATCAATCATTATCTGAAGAAGTAAGATTTCTCTGAATGTTAAAATAGGGTATAATTATTGTAAAATCTTCCAGTCATGGAATAAAGTGATAATAGTTGATGGCAACACGGAGATGCTTTTCAGCAGAAAAATTTAAATATCTAGGAAGTGTTTGAACAGAGGACGGTGAATCTGACACCGAAATCTGAAGGCGCATTGGAATAGCAAAAGATGCCTAACAAAAGCCAACGAAATTTATTTAGAAACAGGAATTTTTTTGTTTGAAACAAAGAGGGTTGAATTGTTATGTAATATCATTCTTACTCAATGGCAATGAATGGTGAACAATCTCCTCACAGATAAATAAGAAACTTGAGGCAACAGAAATGTAATTCTACAGAAGAATGCTGAGAATACCATGGACTGAATATGTGAGTAACAAGGAAATTTTAAGGAAAATAGAAACCAAAGAAGTGACTTATGCCTAAAATTATAAAGAGGGAGCTGAAATTTCTTGAAACATAATGAGGAAAGAGGGCTTAGAAAATTTGATATTCACAAGATATATTAAAGGCAAGATTGACAAAGAGAAACAGCGAGTAAGATATTTTACAAGCTTTTGTAAATAGAATTCAGAACAGAGAGTTGGGTGGGGGATGGTAAACAAACAAACCTTATAAACCATGATTATTCACGTCCTGAAGAGACACGTCTCAAAGTAGAAGTTCAATGATTATTGGCACGGCTTCTACTTTGTCATGTCCGTGGAAAATATTTTAAATTGAAATTCTAAAAGCAACAGTATTAAAATATATTTGATATAGTCATTAAGATTTTAATTAATAATTAAATAAAAAATGAAAAAGGAATTATCTCTGGGGAAAAACCGTTCGTAATTTCATTTTTTTACATTTCTGCAAAGCATTGCGCTACATGCTGATTTTCTACGCACAGGTTAGATGTGGCACAAATCCGAAATTATAGCGCATCGAATGAGAATCGAACTCACTACTCAGTTATAATTAATCTACGCTAGACACGCTTGCTAACCATTACACCGCATCGAAGTGGCTAACTACATGTACAATGGCGATAAAAAAAGTACTTATGAACAAAAATTCTGTATATAACGCAATATGTATCCATAGAGATATATATTACTTTTTGAATTTTTCATTTTACGAACAATTGCTGATTCAAAATAAATCGGACTCAGCCACATTTGGCAGATAGCTACACCGGTGAAGCTTTTTGTAGGGTTTGGACTGTTCGTTACTATTGGATTGAAAAACTATGAAACTACCTACATTTGTATGGGAGTGCTGCACTATGCAAAAAAAAATAATAATAATAAATAAAATAAATAAATAAAGAAAGAAAGAAAGAAAGAAAGAAAGAAAAAAGAAGCATTATAGAAATGAGAAAGTTCTTCAATCTCTCCTTTTTATTTCATTTCGTCTCTGACGTATACATGCAGGTGTTTCCAGACCCCAAACAGCAAATATTAAAAGAGGTTCTTATGTATTAGATGTTCTAACAGTAGTGGTTATTAATTCCTTCATATCCTCGTCTTTTATTGAGTTGATTCTGACGTTCGTTGGCGTACTTGAGTTGATTACTTGGGCCACCAGACCACTGGTGTCCTGATGAGATTTTCCTGTGATTTAATTCTGTATTTATACGCAACTAGTATTTCTTTTTAATTTCCACTGTTGTCAGTGAAGAATGGGGTCTCCAGAAAATGGGATTACATAGAATGTAATGAATAGGCGAGCGCTAGACGGCGTGTAAGAAAACTTAATGGAAGTAATATTAGATTGGCTCACGGGGTAAAATCTGATTGACAACCAGGAATAGAAAAAAAAAAGATAATGAAAAAAGACAGGGGAGATAATAATGAAATATTTATTAAATAATAAGAAAGAGTTATTGAAGGTCTCAAAAGAAGATTGGTAGTTATAAGGAGAGAAAAAAAACATCTAAAAAGAAGGAACGAGGGATAATTGAAAGAAAAATATAGTGAAAGAAAGAAAGCGTAAACAAAAGGAAAAATAATGGGTAATATTTAAAGGAAGCAAGAGCGGAAGTAAAAAGAAAAAAATGAATAAAATTTTAAAATAAGGGAGGGAATGGTGTAATAAATAGCAATAGCAAAGAAAAGAGTGGAAAAAATTTTTAAAAATGTGAAAGAAAAGAACGACTGAATGATGAAAAACGAGTTAAATGGATAGAAATGAAAAAAAGAAAGAAAAAATAAAAGGAAAGATATAGAAAGAAAGAAAAGAAACAAAAAGAAAAGAAAAGGAATACGAAAAGGAAAAAAAAGCAGCAGGCGCAAATAGAAATGGAGAAAGAAAGAAAAATAAAAGGAAAGACATGGAAAAAAGAAAGGAAACAAAAAGAAATGAAAAAAAAAAACAGCAAGCGGAAGTAGAAAAATGAAGAAATAAATAAAAGAGGAAAGGAAACTAAAATGGATTAAAAAGAAAATGATTTGAAAAAAGAAAAGACGACTTACAAGGAAGGAAGCGAAAATTGAAAAATAGTTGAGTAAAAGAAAGAAAGAAAAAAGAGAAAATTGAAGAAAGAAATAAAGAAGAAAAAAACTAAGAAAAATTAAGAAATGAAAGGATTCGATAAAAACTTTCAACGTCTGCGAAAATTGAAAAAGAAAATGAAACTAAAAATAGGGAAACGGGAACTGTGAAGAAAATATAGAAATATAAAGGAATATAGAATATAAGAATAAAAATGATGAAAATAAGTGAATCAGGTACAATGGACAATGAATAACTTATGTGGTTGTCAAAATGCTTAGTGAATATAAGCACAGACACACATACACACAAACACACATATATATATATATATATATATATATATATATATATATATATATATATATATATATATAAAATTTAAAAGAAAAACAGACCACTTTAAGACCATTATAATAATTTATTTCTGATCAGCCCTTTTTGGGACGCCGGATCATCAGAACTTCCAAAATCCGGCGTCCTTTAAAAGGGGTCTGTTTTAAATTATTAAATGGTACTTAAAGTGGTCTGTTTTTAAATTGAGCTCTTTACAGGGATTTCATCCTCCTTGGGATTACCCATACGGATTACCAAGTTCTTCATATATATATATATATATATATATATATATATATACAAATATATATTGTGAATTTAGGTAGCATTCCCTCTAATACACGCTTTGTTAACGACGAATGACAAGGTTTAAAATTTTTCTTGTGTTCGAACAAGTGCTTACTTTTCTGGACACAATGTGTTTAAAAATTGTCCAAATGTTCAGTAATTAAGAGCGCGTTCGGCTATAGTTTTAGCCATTATCAACGTTGATTTTATTTTTACTTTTTAACTGAATGTATGAATTGTGTGTATGTATCTAGAGTTATAGGAATGTTCTATTTTCCAAAATCGGTCAGCACATTGTGAACATGTTCGTAGTTAATGTTTTCCTGATCAAACCAAACTCATAAATAATTACATTGGTCACATTACTACAGGCCTATCCAGACGACTTACGTTACACCTACCAGATAATATCTCCATTAGGACTCATCTAATGTACACACACACACGCACAAACTCAAAAGTACAGTGAATTTAATCATAAAAAATTACAAAATGAGGCCTACTTTTCCAGATCTCCATTAATTCATTGAAATTCTGGAGATAAAATTTGACTTTATTTATTTATTTGCAACTTCAAATTAAGACAAGAAATATTTTATGTTGATTGCAATGTTGTCCTATATTCAGCAGGGTGAGTTGCTTTGAACTGAGGGTTGTTGTTATAGTGAATAAAACAAGATACTGTAAAAGGTTTAATGTCCCTGGAGAGGTAGAAGTTATTTTGATACGCACTGAATTGCATATTGCATATTTGGAGGAAAAAGAAAAATGGAAAGAAAAATTCTTTTTTTTATTAAAAAGCATGAAAGACAGAAAGAAAATAAGTATTAAAAAGGAAAGAAATTAAAACATAATAATAATAATAATAATAATAATAATAATAATAATAATAATAATGACCAGAACAACAAAGAATAAAAAGTAAAGAATGGGAGAGTAAAATATAATTGAAAAACTACGACAAAACACATGATAGAAATAAACGGAAAAGAGCAGATTTAACAAAATTAATGGTAAAATTTTCAAAAAAAAAAAAAAACTTATAAAAAGAAGGAACAAATTAATATATAAAAGATAAACGTTAATAAAATATAAGGATGAGGAAATTAATTTAAAAAAAAAGTGAAGAAAAATTATTTTACTAAGGAAAAGAAAAATTACTTTAAAAAGAAGAAAAAGAAAAATTAATATAAAAGGAGAAGAGAAATGATCAATCAAGTAAGGAAAAAATAAGAAAAAAGAGAGAAAAGAAAATTTAGTATCAAAGTAGTAGACAAATAAAAAATAAAATAGTAAAAAGAAACAAAAAAGGAAAAGGGAACAAATGAAAATTTTAGATAAGGAAAAAGAAAAAGAAATAGAAGAAAGAAAACTAAATAAGTAGAAATTAATATAAAAAGAAAAAGAAGTAATAAAACAAAATTTAATTAGAAAAGAAGAAAAAGAGAATAATAAAAAATAAATTAAAAAATATATAAAATGAAAAAAAATCGTAAAGGAAAACTAATTGATAAAGGAAATAAAATATTAATATAAAAAGAAGGAAAAATGATATAAATTGAAAGAAAATTAATAGATAAATAAAGAAAAGATAATATAAAAAGAAGAAAAAAAATAATGTAAAAAGCAACCGAAGAAGATAATGAATAGAAAAGAAGGAAAAATAATATCAGAAAGAAAAAAAAACTAATATAAAAAAAGAGAGAATATTAATGTAGTAAGAAGGAAAAAGGTTAATATAAAAAGAAAAAAAAATACAAGAAAAAAAGAGAAATAACATAAAAGGTAATAAATAAGAAAATCATGTGAAAATGACGGAAAAGAAAAATAATAGAAAAATAAAAATTAATTTAAATATATATGAAAGAAAATGTATAAAAATTAAACAGAATAAAAATTAATATAAAAATTAATATAAAGATTAATATAAAAATGAAGAGAAATTAATAAAAAAAAAATAAAAAAAATAAAAACAGACAAAAAAAAGAAAAAATTAACAGGAAAAGAAAAAAGAAAACCATAATAATGAGTGAATATTTGATATAAAAAAAGAAAAGGAAAAAAATAAAAAATCTTAATAAAAACGAAATAAATTAATAAAATTAGAATAGCTATTATGGAAAAAAATGAAAATAATTTAAGGAAAATAAAAGGATAATGAAATAAAAAATATTGAGAAAAGAAGGAAAAGAAAGTAATAAAAAGTAAATAAAAGAAGATTAATAGAAAAGTAAAATATAGAAAAGGAAAAGAAAAATCAATATCAGAAGTTGAAAGAAATTAAATTAAAAGAAGAATAACATAAAAATAAAAAAAGAAAATAATACTAAGAAAAAGAAAAGTAGAAGAAAGGAAAAGAAAGGCCAAATAAGAAAATAAAAAGTTAATATAAAAAGGAAAAGAAAAAGTAATATAAAAAAGAATAAGAGAAAATAAATATGAGGAAAAATTACTAAAAAAATGTAAAATATCAAAATGAAGGAAAATTAATATCAAAATGAAAGTAAATAAAACAAAAAATGAAAAAAAGAAAAATAATAAATAGATAAATAAATAAAAAAGAAATATAATAGAACGAGAGAAAAAGGGAGAAAATAAAGAAAAATATGAGAAAGAAATTAAAAAAAAATGTGTAAATAAAAATAATAGCGTAAAAGGAATGAAACGAAAGAGAGAGAGAGAGAAAGAAAGAAAGAAGCAACAACGAACAAAATGGTTTAGCCACTAACAAACAAAAATAAATCAGATTGAATGGCTTCTACAGGGAGTTGGGAAGAAAAGATGGCAGTTAAAATTATTAAGACTCGACCAATCAAAACTGCGCAGGGTGAATGAATCTTCTGATATAATAGGACATAATTCAAACGTTCGCCACCAGGGGGCGTTTCATGTTAGGCCGTGTCACGGAATGGTTTATAGGCTGAGATGAAAGAGATTTCAGATTGAGAATCGAAGCGAAACGAAGGACTGATGCTAGTGAAGAAAGAAAGGGGCGATGTCATTGATTACTTTGTTAGTATTTCTGTAAATCACGCATCTGAAGATGTGGGTGCATAAGCTATTATTATGTATGCAGTTGCATACATGCCTATCTCTCTCTCTCTCTCTATATATATATATATATATATATATATATATATATATATATATATATATATATATATATATATATATATATATATATATATATATATATATATATATATATATATATTTTCAGTCCGTATTGTGATGGAATGGTAAATGTAGGGTTCATACAAACTATTAACAGTGAATTTGAACATCAACGATTATTTAGAAAAAAATATAGTCGTCTGGTAAACTAAGTTTTGCTTTGTCCGTCTTTCTGTGCGTAAGTTAGTGTGCGTGCGTGCGTATGTGTGTTAGGTTGGTTGATTTTATAAGGTTAAGACTTGATGGGTTATTTAATGTTTACTTGTATGTATTTATACGAATGAGACACACACAATGAGGATTGAATTCAGTACTAAGAGTCAACCAGATTAGTTTCGCTAACCATTACTCACACAGAGGCACCACCTTGTCTTTCGCTCTCTAGTTTATATATATATATATATATATATGTGGTATGTTTGTATAAGTAAATTTTGTATATATAAATTATTTGTATATACATATATATATATATTTGTGCGTGTATATATATATATATATCAGTGTGTGTACATGTGTGTATATGTGTGTGTGTATGTGTGCGTGTGTGTGTACACATTACGTCTTACATATGCAGAAATATAGATAGATAGATAGAGTCAATCAAAACATTATTGATAAATGAAAACGAGTTATATGAAAAAATTCAATTAAAAAAATTATCTATCTATCTATATATATATATATATATATATATATTGTAATTATTGATTAATATTACATTTTATGAAATGAATTATTTAAAAACTATAAAGAATAAATTAATTTGAAGATATCGATTCTAACTTATTTAATATCTGTCTAAATTTAGTCTGTATGAGTGTGTTTGCGTGTGTGAACACCTATATATATATATATATATATATATATATATATATATATATATATATATATATATTTTTTTGCATACATCTGCATTTGATATATCAAATATTGCCTCTGTATTTCTATGCGTTTTTCAATCATTAGTCTGTTGTGTGAATTCATACACATTTATGTCCCTTAGATTTATTCTTGAGAAGAGATTTGTGTTGGCGTGTGTAGATACATTCCCAAGCCCGTTCATCAATGATGCCTTGTAATAATTGAGGAGTTAGTGATTGGATGCAAGGCGATGGAGGTTATAAGTTCTAGTAGGGTCGCGTGTTTAGAGGTCCATGGATGGCGGTTGACGTGTGTTTTAATAGCTACTGTGAATCATAGCTAGCGCTTTTGGTCACTCGGCCCAATAAGTCGCCTTGTTTTGTGAGGCCGGTCAAAAATCTTATTGCCTCGCTAATAAGTTAGATTTGCCTTTTTTTTCCCTTCTCCTTAATTTTTCTTTGTGACAAATCGAATATTCCGAACGATCTTTAAAAAAATACAAAATTGAAAATAAAATTAAAAATATAATAAAAAAGTAACATTTAAAAATGAATAATAAATAAATAAATAAATAAATAAATGAAGTATAAATAATTTGATAAATAAAATCGAAATAAAATTGTATAAAACCTCGCAGTTTTTACTTTTTATCATTTCTTTTATACGCCACACTGTCCGACTAAATATTAATTTTTTTCCTCTTTTTTTCTTTTCATTATACTTTTCTTTTTCTCTATCATTTTGCATTTCTTCAATTTTCCAATATAGTCTCATTCTTTCAATTTTAGTTTATTTTGCCAAATCGTTTATTTCTTTTCCTGTTTTCTCCCTATTTTATTTTATTTTTCCCCCATTTTTCTTTTTCGTTGCTTTTCTTCAAGTTTTCCAATATAGTCTCATTCTTTTCCTCTTTCTTTATTTTCACCATTCCTTTCCTTTTTCTTTCTCGTTCTTCTTTTTAAGTTTTCCAATATAGTCTCATTCTTTCCAATTTTAATCTGTTTATTCGTTTCTTTTTTTTTTTTTTTTTTTTCCTTTCTCGTTGCTTTTCTTTAATTTTTCCAATATAGTCTCATTCTTTCTAACTTTCTTTATTTTATGCATATACCTTTATTTACTATCTTCTTATTTTTTTCTTTTTTTATTAGTCTTTTTTTCATTCTAGTCCCTAATATAATCTCCTATTTTCCTCTTTCTTTTTCTTTTTTCTTTCTGTTTGTTTTCTTCACGTTTTCCAATATAGTCTCATTCTATCCATTTTTCTTCATTTTGTTTATTAGTTACTTTTTCTTTTTTCTTTTTTCTCGTAACTTTATTTCAAGTTTTCCAATAGAGTCTCATTCATTCCACCTTTCTTTATTTTGTTTATCCGTTTCTTAGTTCTTTTTCATTGATTTTCTTCAACTTTTCTAATATAGTTTCTTTCTTTCCATTTTCTTTTTTATTTTGTCTATTCGTCTCTTTTTTTCTTTTCATTTTTCTTTTTTGTTGCTTTTCTTTAAGTTTTTGAATATAATCTCATTCTTTACCTCTTTCTTTATTTTCATCATTCGTTTCTTTTCTTTTTATCGTTACTTTTTTTCGGGTTTTCAATTATTCCTGTCCTTATTTCATTAATTTATTTTTCTTTTTTTCTTTCTCGTTGTTTTTCTTCAGGCTTTCCAATATTGTCTCATTTTTTACCTCTTTCTTTATTTTGTTCATTCTTTTTATTTTTTTTTTTTTTTTTTTTTTTCGTTGCTTTTCTTCGTGTTTTCCAATATAGTCTCATTCTCTTCCTGTTTTGCCATTTTGTTTATTCATTTCTTTTTTCTTTTTTTCTTTCTCCTTGCTTTTCTTCAGGTTTTCCAATAGTCTCATTTTTCCCTCTTTCTTTATTTTGTTTATTCTTTTCTTTTTTCTTTTCATTTTTCTTTCTCGTTGTTTTTCTTTAAGTTTTCCAATATAGTTTCATTCTTTCTAATTTTCTTCATTTTATGCATTCGTATCTTATTTTTACTTTCTTCTTCTTATTTCTTTTTCCGTTTTTTATCACTTTTTCTTCTTGTTCCCAATAAAGTCTCATTCTTTCTCTCTTTGTTTTGATTATTTGGTTCTTTTTTCTTTTCATTTTTCTTTCTTGTGGCTTTTCTTTAAATTTTTTCCAATATAGTTTCATTTTTCCCCTCTGTCTTTATTTTGTTTATTCGTTTCTTTTTCTTTTCTTTTTTCTTTCTCGTTGGTTTTCTTTATTTTGTCCAATTTAAACTCATTCTTCTTCATTTTATGTATTCGTATCATTATTTTACTATCTTTTTCTTATTTCTTTTCTCTTTTTATCAAATTTTCATTTAGTTTTCCATATAGTCTCATTCCTTCTATCCTTTTTTTTATTTTTTCAATCCTTTCTTTCTTTTACTATCTTTTTCTTCTTGTTTTATTTTCTCTCTAATTCTCTTTTACTCGTCACTTTCCCTTATACTGCTAACTTACTTTTTTTTCTTTCCTTGACTCACGTTTTTCTTTTCTCCTTTGCTTGTTTCATCCTTCGAATTATTTTGCCTCCATGTTTTCTTTTTTACCTTCCGCTTCTAAATCTAATTTCCATCCTCTCCTGTTTGTTCTTCTTTCTTAGACTTCTTCGGTTCTTTTTATCTTATTTCTTTATATTCCTTCCCCTATTTCTTTCTTTCGTTCTTTTACTTAGAACGTCTCACCTTTCTTCTCCCAATTTAAAAAAATCTTTCTCATTAATATTTCGATTTCCTTTTCTTCTTTCTTTCTTTTCTGCTTTTTTTCTGATCTTACCTTTCCTGTTTCTTTATATTCCTTCCTTTCCAGTTTGCTTCTTTCTTCAACTAACTTCAGTCCTTATTCTTTATCTTCTATCTTTTCTTTTTCTCCCCACTCTGATTTCTTCTTTTTCTTCTGCTTTTTCTCTTTCTTTCTTCTTTGATCTCATCTATTCTTTCCTCTTCTACTTTTTTCTCTACATCCCTCTTTTCAATCATCCTCTTTCTCCCCTGCTTCTATTTTCTTCTTTCTCTCTTCCTTTCTCTTCTTTCATCTCCTTCTTCCCTTTCTGACTCATCATTCTTTTTATATTCATTTCTCTTTCTCTATCCTTGAATCTTTGTCTATTTTCGTTCGTATCTTTCTTTAATAGCATTCTTATTTTCTTTTTTATTTACAGTCAACACTTCTCTCTCTCTCTGTTTTATTTCATATTTTTTCTTTCGTTTTTTTTTTTTACTCTCTATCTTCTAATTTTCTATTTATTCGTTTCTTTCTCTCTTTTCAGTTATTTTCCTTTTGTTTTTCCTCACAACCTCATTGCGTTCATTTATGTCGCTGATTTTTCCTACTTTTTCTTCCTTCATTTATTTTCATTATTGTATTATATTAACCTTTTCTTTCATTTTCTTTATCGATCTTTGTTTTATTTCATTTTACCTTCTTTCTTTCTTTCTTTCTTTATTTTTCTTTCTTTCTTTCTTTCTTTCTTTCTTATTTCTCATCATTCTTGCTTTCATTTTTTGCTTTCGTAAACAAACTTTTTCTTTTGTTTTTTTTTTCTCTTTGTTTTTCACTCATTCGTTGTTTTCCAATTAAATTTTTAAAGTTTTTTTTTGTTTCACTTCTTTTGCTTTGCTATTTCGGTTTTTCTTTTTCTTTAGTTTTCTTCCTCTGCTTTCCAAACTTAACATTATCTTTTAATTCATTAAGTTGCTTGACTTTAAATGTCACGTAAAATCTTGTTAATACCCATTTCTGAATATTTATTCGTTATTAAAAAATCTCCATAATTTCTCTCTTCCTTTCGTCTCGCTTCTTCATCTCAGCGTTATTAATGGCATTGCTACGGTTGTATTATTATTATTATTATTATTATTATTATTATTATTATTATTATTAACAACAGGCCGAGAATATGCAAGGCTATTGCCACATACAATATTTACATATTCGTATAGTTCTTTTTTATTCTTATTGAAGAGATTTATGGTCTGTAGAATGTGTAATATATTAGCGTGCACAGGATAATTAAACAATTTTGACCCAGCAAGGGACTTAAAGTAAGCATAAATTCAAATTCTGCTACTTGAAAACTCAATTTTCACTGCTGGGTTGTAAGATGTGAGTCCTATCGCTTGTAAGCTTGCATTTTATTCAGGAAGTAGATTTTTAAAAAAACGACATTAAGTTAAGAATTTAATTCCATTTTAAAGACAATATCATATATTTATTTATTTTAATGATTTAAGTCAAGGAAAAAGAAGCTCCCAATGTATTTCAAATTAAAGATCGTAACTTGAAATACATAGTTATCCATTAGAATAGGAATGTATATCTTTGAATATGATGAGAATAAGAATTTAGCATCACGTTCTCATAGCGTTATCATCCTTTAAATATAAAATAATACTTTGAATAATATCATGTTTTATAACATTGACTATATTTGACATTGGAAGCTATAGGGAAGTCGAAACGCATATATGACGAATGAAATAAGGAACTGCTTGCACACGGAGAAATCGGAGAGCCGAGATCGAATTCAAGTTGGGTTCGTTACATTTATTTACACCCAAATACAATTGGGAAAGTTATAAATCCATCTCTTCTCCTCTAAGCTATGTGTTGAATGACAGGACAAACTGGGGTTTATAGCCTTCTTTCTTCTTGGTTGGCAACCATTTTACGGCAGCCTACTGTTGAAAATTTTCTGCCTAGTTTGTCATAAATCAAAATAGACATGATTGCCCAAGAGTGTATCGCGTATGTCACCTGACTTTTTGTAGAGCTATATTGGATAGACCTAACGGCTAAGCTAAAAGTTGGGTCCAACCAACACGATATAAAGCCTAGAAAAGTTAAGGTGGTGTAAATTTTGTTACTAATGAAATCTTAGGTCCCTTCAAAGTTGATGGCAGTGACAGGATAAATACAGAAAAAATTTTTAAGTTGTCAGAGAAGGCATTTTGATTGATACAGGTCACAACCAAAAAGCAGAAGACAAAGATCATTCGAGGCAATGTTAGTTTATATTCTGCAAACGTGACTACTGCTTAACTTGACATGAAAAAAGGATTCAAAACAAAGAAAATTAATGGATCCGTATCTCGCTAAAGATTAATCCAATAGAAAACTTGTGGTTCCTATTAAATGAAATACACATGAAGACAGAAAAGAATATAAAATCTTTGAAGAAGAAATAAAATTTTCTACAAAAAATGTGAAAGTGAAAACAATAGAAAAGCTAAGAAAATCAAGGCGTCAACAACTGGTTAAGGTTATAGAATGTCAAGGATACCGTATTAACGTGTGTTAACATTGATATGTTTCTATTGAAGAATATGGGATATTGCGTTGAATATTTATATCTTTAGCTTATATCTTTTAGATTTATATATAAATAAAAACCTATGCTGCAATGTTGCCATAATAAAAACTCAAACTCCCCAAACAAGTGATTATCAATATTTCTAATGATGACATTTGCTATAAACTATAGATTACTTAGATAAATATAAAAATATCCTGAAATCTTACCAACATCAGTTAGTCAATACATATTTCTTTAGAAGAACGTTAAGGTACAAAAACATTCGCTCTAACATTGTGCACATTTTTAAACTATTTTACACTTGGCACATATGATAATTATTTTATTTATTCATAATTAAAATTATATTTTTATATTTTATTATAATATATTATATATAATAATATTATTATATATAATAATATATAATATATATTATTATAATATATAATATATATATGATATATTATTATAATATTTTATTATATTTATTATATTATATATATTTATTATATTTTTATAATATATACCTATTTAAAGATTATATCATAAGTATTTTATAATATCACTACAGAAATAGCCATTTTATTTCAACACTTCTGTTGTCTTGTCAAGTGATGGTAATAATATATAATATATATTATATATAATATTATAATATATATTATTATAATATATAAGATATTATATGTATAATATATTATTGTAATATTTTATTATATTTCTTTTATTTATATATGTTTATTATATTTTATTGTAATACTTTATATATTATAATATTATTATATATATAATAATATATAATATATATTATATATAATTTTATAATATATTATTATAATATATATGATATATATTATTATGATATATATAACATATATTATTATAATTTATAACATATATAATAATATTCGACATCAGTCAGATATCCTACCTCTAGGTCATCGTCGCACGGCATAAAGAAAGGGGATTTTAACGTTTTTCTCAATACGAAATACGCCAGCGGCTCGGAGAACTCAATTCAATTTCCGCTCCTGTCAATTTCAACGTTTGAAAGCCGGACAATTCAGTTTCAGAACCGAACCTCCATACTATCCACACATACGAGAGCGGGCTGATAAGTTCACCAGGTGACAAGGAAAGAGTTACGCTATAGCTACGAAATGATGAAACGACATTGGCCTTTTTTTGAAACATGTTTCCACTGTATGGATTGTCTCTTTGTTTATGGCTCAAAGTGATGAACTCAACACTAATCTTGGTTTAGGGATCCCTCAAGGAAACTGGCATCATCTACCTCAAACAATGTCAGTTTTTCCCCTAATGTGCTCAGCCTGATGTGCTTTTGATCATGTGTCAGAAAACGTCGCAGCCACCGAGCAGAAACCTTCGTCATGTTAAGTTTATTGTGCAGAATATTCTCAACTCTTTCAAGGGATATACTAATATCATTAGTTATTTGATTTAGGGTCCATTATTTCATCCATCAACATGTGCTGAAAACGATCAATATTTTCCGCGATGGGTAGAATATCAGAAATCAAAACAAATTAAAACATTCAGCAGCCAAACAGAAGAACACTATAAATTCTAATACTACAAAATGTCAGAAGGGAAACCAAATTAAAAATTTAGGAGCCAAAAATGGGAAGAATGAAATTCTACAAAATATCAAGAGAAAAGGAAATTAAAAATTCAGGAGCCAAATAGGGAAGAATAAAAATTCTACAAGATCCCAGGATACAAACCAAATAAAATATTCAGGAGCCAAATACGGGAGGAACAAAAATTGTATAAAAAATCACACGGCAGACCAAATAAAAAAATCAGGAAGCATATATGGGAAGAATAAAATTTCTACAAAATGTCTGGAGACATTAAAATTTCAGGAGCCAAATATGGAAAGAATAAAAAATTCTATAAAATATTAGGAAACAGACCAAATTAAAAATTGAGCCGCCAAATTTGGGAAGAATAAAATTCTACAAAATGTCAAGCGACAAAGCAAATTAAAAAATCAGGAGCCAAATATGGGAAGAATAAAAATTCTACAAAATATCAGGAGACAAACCAAATTAATTCTTAAGTAGCCAAATATGGTAAGAATAAAAATTCTACGAAATATAAGGAGACTAACCAAATTAAAATTTCAGGAGCCAAATATGAGAAGAATAAAAGTTCTTCAAAATATCAGGAGAGAAAGCAAATTAAAAATTCATCGCAAGCCATATAGGAAGAATAAAAATTCTACAAAAATCAGAAAATAATCCAAATTGAAAATTCAGGAACCACATATTGGGAGAATAGAAATTCAGAAGTCAAGCAAAATTAAAAATTATAAGACAAACAAAATATAAATGTTTTAATGACTATCGGAATTACAACAACAACAAAAAAAAAAAAATTGAAGTATGAAAGCATTACTTTATGACGACCACAGCTCAATTTTTTACTGATTTTTAATTCTCACAAAATCATCCAGATAAAGTGCTTGAAAGTTTCTCTGACAAATTTTATTTTAAAAACAAACAGCATTAAATTTTTCTTTTAAGCACTAATCTTTGTGTAGTCAATTTTATTAACCATCTTGTACCAAGAACAGCTTTAAAAAAATGAAAGGGGCAAAAATGTACTCACTGTGACCTTAAGCACAATTTTGAAGTGTATTTTAGGCGTACGTTTTATCATATAACATAGATTGTTATTAAATCGTCAACTTTAAAATTTATTATATTTATATTATATTATTTCTCTCTGTTT